TTAAAAACGTTTGGGGACACTCGCGTAGATCTGCACCTCAGTGAACAGGCACAACATTGGTGAGTAAATGAATTTTATTTTACATTTCTTCTTGTCATTTTATTTCGTTAGTATTAAATTCATGGTAACGAAATAAAATGACAAAGATACAAAAATGTATCAAATAAATCTGCTCACCTGCAATTTATAATGGCGCATTGTAGTCACCTTCGTGCACGAAAGTTCGTTCAATCTCAGCTGCTCAACATTTTCAGTTATTTGCTGTTGTATCGCCGAGTTTCAAAATGCAAATGATCTGTTTATTTTCAAAGAATAGTTTGTTTTCTTATTGTTTGGTTGGTGTCTTATATGAAACTGCGACATTGCGCAATTTATTGGACAGACTTGTTTAAGATCACACGGCGTAATTTGGGTGGCATTTTATTTCGTATTTTTAAATCATCTTTTTATTTTTGACAATATCTGTAAATTTAGTTTCCTGCTCTTAATCGTGAATGCATACTTGATGGTTTTAAATGCTCCTGAAATTAAGTGCTGCTTGACGAGCCTATATTGTGTGTGTATGTGACGTCACTGAAGGTCTAAGGTTGAAATGCACGGCCCGCCACTGCACAAAGCCATCTATAAAGCTCCTATACCAAAGGAATTCACAATGCCAAATGCTGAATAAAATGCCCAGAACTGTCACTGTTTGGCTTAATCTCACCAAGATTTTTTGGTTGCTGTAGTCACCACAGAGATAGTTGGTATGTGGAAAATCACATAAAATAATGCAATTTTGAGTGTGCATGTACGTCAGGCGTGTCAAACTCATTTTTGTCGCGGGCGACATTGTAGTTACGGTTTCCCTTGGAGGGCCGTTATGAATTTGGTGAAACCATATAAATGTTTAATCCCCTCCACATATTACACACACAGCACACAACAAATTGATGAATAACTAGTTTTAAAATCAGAAGTCAAGAATAATGACTGTTATTGTGGATGACATATGACAATTTTGGTTCAGACTTCAGCAAGCATCATGGAACTTGACATGCTTGATTTGCTTTCGCGGGCCACATAAAATGATGTGGCGGGCCAGATCTGGCCCCCAGGCCTTGACTTTGACACCTGTGATGTACGTCAAAACAAAAGCGTCTAAATAGGGTCAGTGGATTAGTAGGAGAACTCTGAAGTGTAAGTTTTTAAATAAAGAAACTTGATAATTCCCAAGTGTACTTATGTTTTAGAGCAGGGGTCCCCAACCGCCAGTCCGCCGACCGGTACCGGTCCGCCGGGCATTTGGTACCGGGCCGCACAGAAAGAACATGCCTTAATTCAGTTTTATTTCGGAATACGAAAGATGTTTTATTTTGAAAAACTACCGGATTCTCCGTTACATCCGTCTGTGTCACGCTTGACACACGTCAAGCCACGCTTCTCCATCACGTGACCGATTATTTCAAAACAAAACGCAGAAGCTCGCAAAATGAGTAAAAAAACTGCTGGAGATCGCAAATCACGGCGGCCTTAAAAGTACGTTCGAGACAACTGGATTAAAGTTATGGCTGAATACTCTGAGATCGCCACAATAGCACTGTTGCTATTTCCGACATCCTACCTGTGTGAGGCGGGGGGTTTCTGCAGCAACGGCGACGAAAACAAAATTACGAAGTAGACTGGACATAAACCACACACTTGAGGTGTCATTGTCTCCTTTTACCCCGAGATGGGACCGTCTGGTTGCAGAAAATCAAGCTCGGTGCTGTGGTGAGTCGTCATTTTCATGCACTTTGAATTTGCGTTGTATCGTATTTTGAAGGCATTAAACATTGCCATAGCGATCGCAGTGTTGCGGCCAGATTAGACGCTCCTTGTGTTTATTATTATATTTCGAAAACACCACAGTTTTCATGCAGCTCATACCATATTAATTTCTTGTATTATTTCCACCACACCTTAAATGCCGGTCCCTGAAAATATTGTCTGACATAAACCGGTCCGTGGGGCAAAAAAGGTTGGGGGCCCCTGTTTTAGAGACATCGGTCTCATGGTGAGGGGGTGTGTGCAAATCACCATATTGTCACACAGTTCAGTGGAATTTGAATTGAAGTGAATATAATAAACAGTGTTTCATCACTTATGTCAAATTCTGTAAATCTAACAAATTGTACTTTCATGTTTCAGTTTTTCTGTGACATAAAATTCACAGGGATTATTTTGATCAGTACCTGGAATGGCTAAATTTCGTAGTGCGCTCAATCCGGCATGGAGAACAGACACATCTCCTTCGTCAATATGTTGTTCCAACATGGTCAAGATGTGAGGGACCACACCAAGGTCCATCATCTTCACACAGTTACTGTCTGGCATTAAAAAAAAAAAAAATACAATCACAAAAACAAAAAACAGACCCGTCAAAAATCTTTCAAGACATATCATAGGTTGGCAAAATTCTATCTGATATAAAAATGGTTGAATATGAGTTTTACAGAAAAAGTATTTTACCATTTCTTGCAAAGTTGGCAATAGCCAAAGCTCCGGACAACTGCAGCTGAGTGTTGGAGCTCTGCAGCCAGGACAGAACATCCTGGTACACCATACCTGAGCCTTCACCAAAACACTTTTGCATAGACTCATCTGACACACACATGCACACACACACAGGCGCACACACACACACACACACACACACACAGAGTACTTATACAGTGAAATTTAACTTCATAAATATATGAATGGGCTTTCTTTGCTCACTTGATGGTAGCAACAAAAATGTTTGACTGACAAAAATGTTTCTGATGTAAATGAAATCAAGAGTATTTGACTTTATATAATAGATCAACAACGCAAAGACGAACCCATTAAATCGGATCATGTAAACAAAGGTTTGACCTTGCAGCACTCACCTCCTAAAAGAAGTGATACAATGAGGTTAGAGGCAATCTTGACACTGCAAAGGGTTGCAGGGTCTGAACATCCCTGAAGACCCCTGATCAGCTCAGATAATGCCTCGGGTACCCCTGACTCAACAAATTGAAACTTCAGTATATCTGTTGGGACAGAACCACGAGTTAACATAGAAACTTCTTGCACCTGTAACATTAACTCAAACTACTTTTTTTGCCCATATGTGACCTGTACCTGATTTTATTATGACAGTCTGAATGGCGCAATTCCGATTTTTTTCAAATCTGACCTCGGTCACTTTCAGATGTGGCCCTAGATCGGATATGTATTTTTGCAATGCGACCTCTCTCTGAACGGTGGGGGAGGGAGCACCTGAGAGGGAGATAGACAATTGTCCGAGAATCTGCAAAATTGTTTAAATTGAATTGAATTGAATACAACTTTATTGTCAAATGTGCACATACAGCACAGATGAAATTTCTTCCCTCTCAACATAAAACAAGAGATGCCGCTGTGAGTCACAATGTTGACTTTATATTTGGCTTTAACTCCCCACTTGAAAAATAAAGCATATGGATAGGAATTGCAGTTCAACTTTCCGAATTATCAGTGAATGTCTTAATGCAAACACAAACACACCTACAATTTATGCTGGACCTCTGTTTAGGGAAACAATTTTCTTTTCGACTGATATAATACAGGTCAAACAAAAGATTGTATTCTATTGTGATAGACCACATGGAGAAGACCATTCAGATATTGCGCAGTCAGGAAACAAGAATAAGCATAGCAGCATTCGTGGCATTGGCTTCAGACATCCTACGTAGTGAATTCGAGGATGCTGATATTCATCACCACACTCACTACTCAGTGTTGCCCTAACTCCACGCAATGTTCCACTTTTCTTTGGGGGTGAGGTCGCCCAAAAGTCACATCAGGGGTACTCAGACGGTTATTTGTGCGGGGCTTGGCGCCTATGCGGCGTCCGCAGTCTTTATTCTGACATTTTCCTGGTTCAACTTGACTCCCCATTGTTTTTTTCTTTATTAAATTGCAAGTCTGAAACTGTCGAAAAAACTCTGAAAATCAGTCATTCGTTAGAGGGCTGATACATTTAAATATTCTTGAGCAGAAATTTTAAAAATCGTACCATTCTCGGCCAGTGAGCCCAGTATTTCCAGTATAATGTGTTGCCGTTCAGCATCAGGTGCTCGTTTCAATTGAAAAAGCAGGATATCTCCCACATCAACTTCAATAAGAGACGTCCTTGCAGAATCTGAAAGCACACGGGTTTTGTAACTTGGTTGACGATGTAATTGGTGACTATTTCGACTTTTTATAGGGTAATTAAACAACAGTGCTGCACAAATTCTTCATTAGAATATCATTTTATATTATTTACTTTCATTCCTAAATAAAAAAAAAGTAATTAACGTTATATATATATATATATATATATAATGTCAGTGGCTTATTAGCTTCTGACCTCTCAGAGAAGCCCAGTGAGCAAACTCAAATTTGGGTCTACAAGGTTTGTGTTAGTTTGAAACGTCATTGAATATAGCTCAGTGAATAAGAAATAGTCTATATTTAAGCAAATGTTATTGTCTTTTATGATCTTGTATATTTGGTGAGTACTGTGTTGCCGTAATACTAAAACACCCTATAATAAAGACTTTGCTGTATTTCAGCATACAGTACTTGAACCATTAATTAATATGGGCAGGCACATTTGTATTATTTGAATGTAATTTTACCTAGTAGGTATCTATCAGCCGTTATTTGTATCAATGCTTACCCAAGTCTGCCAAATTACAGAGAGCCAGCACACAGACGTTGACTAGGGGATCATTCTCTGGATATTTCCTCATGATTGACACAAGCTTGAGGATGACGCCGGAGTGGACTAACTGATCCTGCTGGTATGCTGTGCAGAGTGAGAGAAAATATTTTGATTCCGGGTCTTCTGCGCTGCGACAGAGCATTCTGACAAAAATTAGCACAGCATTCCTGGTTACTTGGCATGTAAGAGGCGTAACACTAGAGATTTATTAGTTGTGCCTTGGATATATTAAGTGCTCCATTAACATAACTAAACAAAATACTTTCAACACTAAGGACTGTTTTTTTTTTTTTTTTTGTTTTTTTTGTATTTTGGTCCAGAAAGCAGTGGTGCACCAAGTAACAAATAATGACGAGAAGGACCAAAGAAAACAAAAGCTGTTGACCAGAGAAACATTTTGAAAGCTGACAAGACCCCAACACAGCAGAAAATGTAATGAGCATATACAAAAATATAAATGGGACATTATACAGAGATGAAAGTGGACCGGAAAATTTTTATATATATACACACACACACACACACACACACACACACACACACACACACACAC